AAGCACGTAAGTCATAACATGTATTTAAATCAGATATTTAGCCATTATAACAATTTAAGCGACCGTGCTAGAACCACGGGATTCGAGGGTGCCTAACACCTTCCCTCGGGTCAACAGAATTCCTTACTTAGAATTTCTGGTTCGCAGACTTCATCTGGAAAAGTCGAATATTTTCCTCGATTTGGGATTCAAGATAAACCGGTGACTTGGGACACCAAAAGCCAAACCTTTCCCAAGTGGCGACTCTAAATTAAATAAATAATCCCATTTCGAATATTGTCACTTAAATTGGAAAAACTCCACCCGCGCATCTAACCCTTCGGGGCCGGGCGTGCAAAAAGGAGGTGTGACAATAACCCTAAAATAAGAGGGATTTTATCATAAAACTACAAATACTAGAGAAAGCGATGCAGAGTACGATGATTCTGTGATCCAACTATGTCGTTGACTCTAAATAGGTTTAGCCCCATTCAAAACAAGTTGGGGGTGTTTAATGGGTAGGATCGAAGTGTCCAAGTCCAAAACCAACAAGGAAACCAACTTTTTCTCGAACAAGGGTGCAACTGCGCGAGGCGTCGTGTGACATGTTTTCTCTGCTAGGTGTCGTGGGAGGCGTCATATGTTGTGTGTGGGAGCGTCGTCTAACGTGCCCTTGTTGGCGCCTTGGAAAAATTGGGGCGTTATTTGTGCACCAACTTTCTCTTTCACCGACTTTTCTCTCGTGCTCTATTTCAATGTCTGTTGATATTTTTGTGTAATTTTCTCTTCATTTCACATTCAAAAATTCCTACATATAAAATCAATTTACTTAAGCTCAAACGCCACATATATTATCATTATCATTAAAAATATAAGACAAGTAATATCATAAAATATAGCCAAACATCATTCAGTACCGCGTATTTTTTATTTCACTTGTAAAGAGTTTTTTGGACTCCAATATATTATGCTGGAGTTTTACTTGTAAAATATTTAAAATCCAGTAGCGATTGTTAGAGTTGCTCAATATATTGAGGGTACTTTTATCCAAAATATACCTACATTTAAATAAAATGCCTAAAGTCTAATAGCTTTTTAAATCGTGCCTAAAGGCTAATAGTAGGGGTAAAAAATTAGAAATAGCCAAATTTACAACTGGTAATTGAAAATAACCACAACTTCAAAAGTAACCGAAATTTAGCAATTTTTTCATGTAATGATAAAATTTGAACAAAAGTACCCTTAAAAATCTGGAAAAATTCCATCATAATATGCTGGAGTTCGAATATTTTACATATGAGATTCCAACATAATATACTTGAATTTCATAATGTGCTGGAGTTCCAATATAATATGTTGTAAGTTTATACGTAGGAGCTCTATAACCCAACATATTATGCTGGGACTTTCCGTGTGCTGGAGGTCCAACATAGTATGTTGTTTCAGCAATATAGTGGCTATTTTTTAATAACTTTCCAAATGCTGGCTATTTTTTAATTACCAAACTGGCTAACCCGTGTTATTTTGACTAGAAAATGACTAATTACTAATTTTGTCCCAAGCCCAAATAATGACATGCCTCGGCCCAAAAACTATGTCGGGTGAAGATTAAGGCATCAGCATAAATCCCCAACCCTCCAAAATCCAAATATCTCTGTCGCTACTTCACTTCTCTCTGCCTCTTCCTGCAGCCAACTCCGGCAGAATCTCAGTGCGTGTTCCTCTTCATCTTTTCCGCAACAACTCTTATCCCTTTACTTATGCGGTAAGCCTGTTACAATTAATACTGCAAAAATAGGTTATTTTGAATAAATTCCATGTAATAAAGCTTCAATTCAATTTTTTAAATTGAAGCCATTCACCCTGGGCTATGCTGGCCCATCGTAATGGGGAGTTTGGCATTAGCCCCTACTTTATATAAAGCGAATTTTATTAGTACATAGAAGGGAGACTAAAACCAAAACCTTTGAACAAGATTACTGATTTGTAAACAAGTAAAATTTGAATATTCTGACATTACACAGAAAAAAGTTATTATCTCTGCTCCCATTCAAATGATGTTATTTATTTTTTTAAGTCTCTGTTTCAGAATGGATGACACCTCTATATATTTGAACAAAGTTTAATTTTAAACTTCTTGTTTCATAATCCAGTAAATATTATAGCATATTTAAGATCATAAATTCCAAAGAGAATTATTTTTCTTTAAACTTTGTGTCATTTACCTCTTTGGACTTGGTTATCTCCAACTCTCCATTTGCAAAGGGCAAGCAAACATGCTAGAGTGGAAGAATGAGAGTCCTTAACAAGCAATGGATTCCATGTGAATGGCTTCCTATATTTTTAATATAGTATTATATATTTCTTATAATTCAATATTTGTCATTTAAGACTTTAAACAATTATTTCTCAATATTTTTCTAGGAACTATAGTTCTATCCCATCCCTCTAAAATTTATAAAAGATCAAAAGATTCAAATTTTCATTTTGTTTTATTATCTTTGAATATTTATGGCAAAAGTATTTTTTATGTTATTTGTTTATAGTCTCCGATAACAAAGATAACAATTATTTTCACAAGATATTTCATTCCTCATAAATCATGATAAGGCATAGAAAGACTTACATGAAGTATGATTTCCTTGTTTTATTGAGCTAGCTTAGGTGAGATTAATATTCATTATTTTTAGGAACTTATATTTTTTAATATTTATTCAATAACTCAAATACATTATTTAATAATATTTAGATAATTTTAAAAATTATCTAATAACTCACTCAATCCTATCTCTATTAAAATTTTAAAATTTGAAATCTTTTACTAATAATTATATAAATATACGTTATGGAGTATATATTATATAATAATATAGTAATTGTTGGGGCCTTAAATAAATATTTGGGGGCCTTAAAATAATTCATTTGCCTTACCCTAGAGCCGCCGTTGCAGTTCCTTGAAGGTGTGACAAGAAATTGAAATGGTGCGAGCGTACAAAGTAAAAGGGGAAAAGAGGAAAAAGAAAGGAGAGAATTATGATAAGGAAGAAATAGAGGAAAAGGAGTCAGGAAAAAGAGGGAGAACAGAAGCAGACACAGAGGCAGAGGCAGCTGAACGAGTTGTAGATTTACTGGCTGGTATTCCGGCTGTTTCAACTGATCAAAGCACCAAACCTGGTGTTATTTTCATCATCGAAAGAGCTTCTCTGGAAATTGCTAAAATTGGAAAGGTAAGGTCTGTTTTTTCTTTGTTCAATTTTGCTTTTGATTACACAGTCTGCTTTACAAGAAGCTTGTAGCTTTTGATTATCTTCGGTATATGCTCTTACAGTTCATCTTATTAATTGTCTTTATCTTTGTCTGTGTATAAATATAAAGGAATAGGAGTTACCCTATAGTGTGTAATGATATCTTCCTCTTGTTTATGCAGACTTCCCAATTTCTCAACTCAGATGAACATTCCAACTTTCTGAAGAAGAATAATCGAAACCCTTCTGATTATCGACCTGATATTGCTCATCAGGTTAGTTGACTTTTGCCTATCTTGTTACCTATAGTATGATGTTCCTGTAGACTTTCAGATTTTAAGTGTGTCATTTGAGACAATTTTTGCATGTGTCAAAACTTTTGTCTGGTGGAGTGGCTTGGTCAGGTATTGAGTCCTGCAAGTGAAAGTAGTATGTCATGAGTAGAGACTTGATATGTTATTATGAGTGAACTAAGTTGGTCAATTTGTCCGGCCAAAGCTAAAACAAGCAAGCTGAGATACGATCACAGGTTCAAGTTGAGTCTGAGTAACCTGTGATTATTCAGTGCCCCAATTACTAAAAAAGAATAATGATAAGGAAAGAGATATCTGGTAGTTGGCCATAAAATCTCCAAGTAGTCATTTTAATTGCTCTTTGATCATATATATATTTACTAGTGATTATTCTAAAAAAATCATCTAGACTTATAAGTGATTACACATTCACTTTTCTGATGGAACTTTCTATTTCTTTTAAGGATACAATATGATGTTGTATTAAACGAGAAAGAGAAGATGGAATTAGGAATGAGAACACCCGCGTCTTTTAGACCATACATACGCTTACCTTTTCTCTAGATTTTATTTTTCTAGTCCATAAGTACACATCTCATAAATAATACTCCGTATATCTTTTTATATTAAAAAAACAGAATTTCCCGATATGAGATGTGTACAAAAAAATTCTACAAAGATTGTTTTTTCATATTTGAACTGAATTTGTTTATGCCTAATAGTGTCAGAGAGGTCTATGAAGCATGGGGTCTCAGGAGAGTTGATAAAGACATCAAGCATATCTAGCTTATGGCGCCTGCTTATAGTTTTTGGTTTATTTGGATTGAAAGAAACCACATATGTTATGATGGTATTCAACTTCTAGGAGCTCCCTAAAAGCTAAATGTTTGGTTAACCTTTTTAGTTGGGTGAATCTTTGCCCTGTAATTTGTCAGCTCGTTACCCTTATGATAGTTTTTGCCGTTTGTAGCTGACATTTTTCCCTCTTTTGTAATATTTGTATCTTCTTGATGCCTTTTAATGACATTTAATTACCTTATTAAAAAAACAAATTTTACAAAGATGATTTCTTTCAAACTCTATTAAGATGAGTTCTTTTATTTACCCCGTCATTATACAAGTGGGAACATCATGTGTGCTCCAAATGTAAATGATAAACAACAAAATCATTTTCATTTGCACTATGGATCTCTCTTTTCCTTCCAAAACTCTCCAGTTTCTTCCTCTGGCAATTTTTGTTATTAGAATGGAATCTCTACATAGTTACGCATAACCTTTTCCAGTTGTTCTCCATCTTCTGACAAATGCCATATTCCCAAGCATCATGCATATGCCTTTCTGAAGTCTAACTTGCTGAAAAGGCAACATCTTGCTTATTCACTCTAGAGCAGTGTTGTGAAGAGCGTGAAGGAGGAAAACCGACAACCCCCATTTCGCTTAAAGTGAGAAGCGAGAAGCGAAGCGCTCGCTTTTTTGAAGTGAAGCGGAATTTAAAAAAAATATTAAAATAAAAGGAAGGGCAGTATACCATTCTGTTAAAAACTGGGCAGCATAAAAACAATGGAAGAAGAACTGGGCAGCATTTCAGCGAAGAGGAGAAGACTTAGAAAAAAGAACCGAAGGTAAAAAAGAAAAGATCGCCAGCATTTCGCTGCTATTTGGACGCTGAAAGAAGAAGAAGAAGAAGAAGAAGAAGAAGAAGAAGAAGAGAAGGGAACCCTAGTTCCTGTTGCTGCTGGTCGTGTTTTAATAAAAAAACACTGAACACCCTTCTTTTTTAATTAAATAGGCTGGCAGTTGTTTAAAACAAAGAAGCGCACGCTTCACTCGATTCGCTTCGCTTCGTCGCTTCTCGCTTTTTAGTGGGAAGCGCACGCTTTTGTCTACCTGAGTCGCTTCCTATAGCAGAAGCGGGTAAGGGGTCGCGTCGCTTCACTTCTCGCTTTAAGTGAGGAAGCGAGTGCTTTTTACAATCCTGCTCTAGAGTCCACTTATTTAACTCTATAATCTACTTTGCAATTGGGGCAGCATCTTATATATGCCGTCCATCTATAATTGGTATTTTATGTCCAAGAGATCAAAAAGAAAATTCTACTGAAGAGTTTAGAGAACATGACAGAGTTAGGACTATGGATAAGTGGGTAAACGTGTTTTTCTCTTAGGTGCCCAACCAACACTTCACAATTAAATTTCAGCCACTATTAAGTGTTAAAAAGGAGNGTTTTGCTTGATGTTAGTTCTTTAGGGTGAGTTTGTCAGTTGATCTTGCTTCTATTCTACTTCTTTCTGGTTCAGTTTCTGACTGTTTATTGGAACTGGGAGCATAGATGAAATTGCAGTGGAGAGCTGTTGCTTCCTCTTTAACCTTCTACTGATCCACTTTCTGTTAGATCCTTCTAGCGGAAGGGAGAAAGCAGGAAGAAGATCAGATGTAGCTATATTTGCTTGATCCCACCTCGGGACTTGTAGGATCTAAACATTTTAATTGATGCCCAAGCCTCCTTTTGTGAAAGTGCTTTCTTGCCCTATCCTCCCTCCTTTTGGGACAGTAATTACTGCTTCCATCTGTTTTCAGTCCTTAGTACGTAAGCAAAATAAGTTAGTTCCAAAGCTAATGAAAGAAAGGAATTGGTGTTCACAAACTTCATTTGCAATTAATTATCGCAAAAAGTTCATGATTGTTTTATGAGGCAATGCAATTAGTTAAAAATCCTAGTTCATCTTTTTCCGAAAGAATTTATATAAGTTCTTCTTTCCTTTCACAGGCAATGCTTTCAATTTTAGATAGCCGAGTGAATAAAGCTGGGAGATTAAAAGCTTTGTATGTGAAGACTGAGAAAGGTGACCTATTTGAAGTAAAATCTCATGTTCGTATTCCTAGGACGTTTAAACGATTTGCTGGCATTATGTGTAAGTTAAATTACCTTGAGCAAAAAAATTCACCCATCTCTTTTCATGCTTATTACCATCTCTGATTTGTCTAATTTTGCTGTTTTCTGATGTTGCTTCAAATTCAGTGCAGCTGCTACTAAACCGGAGCATAACTGCTGTTGGTAAGCGAGAGAAACTGTTACGTGTTATAGAAAACCCTGTTTCAAAGCACCTACCCATTGACTGTAGAAAGATAGGTGAATAATTTATCTATTTTAGTTCCTTCTCTTTTCTAATGGAATGCTCTTGACAATTGACTAATACACCACTTCTCTTATGCATCAGGCCTCTCTCATAGTTCTGAGAAGCTGGTGGATATTCAGGAATATGTTAATGGCATCAACAAGGACATGAACCTTGTTTTTGTGGTATGTTCTAGTGTAATTTTCTATAGACAACTTCCTTTTGTGTGAAGTTATAGTTTTCTGGATATTTGACATATGCAGGTTGGGGCAATGGCCCACGGGAAAATTGATAAAGATTATGTCGAAGATTATCTATCGAGTAAGCTAATATTCCTCTTTTCTTGTAATTTTTTGTCCAATAACAATTAGAGTGCTATTGTGTGATTTTTCTGCCTTTGTCTTGATTTGCGTAGCTAGTGTTTAACGTGTAGGAGTGTTTCGTACATCTGTTACTTGTGTCTGTATGCTCAATTGATGACACTAGGGTACTATTGATCTTCCTTGAGAGTAGAAGTACTTCTTGAGAGCCACTTATTACTTTGGCAAATGAAAATTAAATTGGCTGTGGCTGGTTTTGAATGTAGATATGGTTGGAATGTCACATAATCTTTGATTTTGTGATGTTATTCTAGTATATTCCATACAAAATGTATTGTAAAGTGAGAGATTGTTCTCTCCCTATGAGTTGGTTGGTTCAGTATCACATGTCAACTCTGAAGCAATACAGGCTCTAAACTGCATCTTAGAATATGAGAGCTCACTATGCATATAAGTGACGAGTTATAGTCTAGGCTCCTTCATTTCTACCTACCCTCTGGAAGCGACGTATGTATGCATATTCTGTGTAAATGCTAAACTAGGTCCATACTGTTTCTTCTATGGGAAAATTATCATCGTCGCAAATTATTGCATTTTTACTGCAACTGAACCTCGTCTTTAATTTATCTTGCAGTTTCTGATTATCCATTGAGTGCTGCATACTGCATATCCATGATCACAAATGCTGTGGAGCGCAAATGGAAGATTTTGTAGACAACGTATACTTTCTAGAATGTTTTGTTTGTTTTCTTTCCTATAGTTTTTTCTGGTTGGTTAATCTATTATTATATAAAATATTTAAGAAGTGTTAAATGGTTCTCTTCTACATTTGGAATGCCCTTTGGAATTTGAAACGGCCATCATCTTCTCATTGTCATTCTGTGTTGGAACTTTTTTGTTCAAGTTTTTGTTTTGTTTTTGGGGTGACAATCAAGCGATCTCAGAAATTTCCAGATTGGGAAATTCTGATAGCTTGTGGAGGTTCTGTTTTTCTTTTATAGCCTTGATGAACCAGGGTCACGAAAAACTTAAATTTGCAAAGAACCCTCGAGCTTTTATAATGACAAAGACGCAAAATTTTTGAGATGAAAGAACATTATCACACGCCATTTCAGACCCTACTCGCTAGATTTCCCCTTTTCTGAAAAAGTGATAATGAAGGCATGACAGCAGTATAGTTTAACTGGTTGTGCGAAGTTAGCAGGTTGAAATCTTTGAGAGTTTATGTAGGTTTGCCCTGCTACTGCACCGTTTGCCATCCCTAATTTTTTTTTTGAAGTGTCAGTCTACAATATTTAGACTCGCAATTGGGAATCAATAAGTTGAAGCATATATCAATCGGATTAATTTATCCAAAAAATCCTATTATGGTTAGGCAGCCTTCAATCCCAAGAGACATATCATATCTAAGTTTACAGTGGAGTAAAGGTACTAGTATGTAAGTACACTATGATACCTTAATGCTATTGCTGGTAAGATAGGACATGGGATTTAATACTCAAATTGTGTATAACTAGGCACTTTTAAGGGTAACATGGTTTTTATAGCCTTCACAAGTACATGTTACTTCTCTTTTAATAATAGTACAAATGAAGTTTACAAAATTGAGCATCAAACTGGAATTTGGGGCAAAAAAGCTAGTTTCTCTGCAATGTTGCGCAGAAAAACAGGGTAACGGCCAATCTCTGGCTCAAGTTACAGCATTTCAACATTAATATACGTTTCCCCTTCTTTCTTTCCTTTTTATGTGACATGAGTTATCTCTGCTCATTGTCCCAATCAAGGACCTGTAAGTAGGTCAGGGTTCGTGGACCGTGACCTGCCATCGTTGTGAGGTATTTCCTCTGGAATGTCCACACTAGCAACAATGTTGGCGGTCTGACTAGAGGACGATGGCTCTATGTTAGACATTTCTATTCTGGATTGATGACCACCTTTCGTGCTCGGGGATGTTTCAGGTGAGTCCCCTGGACTTCCTAATTTTCGTGTTTCTACTGTTCCAGGCTTTGTAGGTTTCTTCTTTTTTGCATTTTTATGCCAATTCATCAGTGCCTTGGAAGTTTGATCATCAAATATAGATCTTTTCATAGTTGATCCCATCTGAAAATTCCAAAAAAAGAAAGAAAATGAAGTATTTAACATGTTTTTGAGTTTATTTTGTAATGAAATAAGTAACTTTTAGTTACCTGGGTAACTAGCGCATACAGCGGAAGTGTAATGTAACTGCACAAAATTTGAACACCTAACCTGACAAGCAACTCTTTTATCAGCTAGAGTAAGAGTGTATGGTAAAGGAACTTCAACTAATTGGTTGCTTTTGGAACTTAACACAATGAAGATAAGTACTTGTTCATTACCCTATAGCAACTCGCAATAAGGCGAGATAAAAATTATCATGAAAGCAGGAATGAAGCCCGAATTCATACTGCAGAAAATGGAATATCATCATGTTACACCACATATAACAACAAAAAAATGGAAATGAAAAAGAAATTGAGGAAAGTGTCCTTACCGATATCCAAAGGAAATAGGTGATCTCGAAAGCATTCTGCAAAACATAAAGGAAAAAATTTAGCTTAATATTTGCTTCCAACGGTCATATTTTGAAAGATGGAAGGGGAGCCTCGGCGTAACTGGTAAAGTTGCTGCCATGTGGCCAGGAGGTCAAGGGTTCGCTGTGGAAACCTAAGTTGCTCGGACACGGGTGCGGATGTCCGATACGGGTACGGATCTAGAGATCGGATCCTTCGAGATGTAAATTCTAAGATTCGGGGATATGGATCCTAGTACGGATACGGGTGCAAGGATCCGGCTAAAAATAATTCAAAAAAATAAAAATATAAAAAATGTCTCTAAATTATGAGAAATTATGTGAAATGCTCAAGTATAGATTATAAAGTGTGGATTTCTTTTTTGTTCTCAAGTTGTAGATAAGTAAATGATTGATTTCTTAGATAATGTATGCTATTTTCTTCAACTTTACCCTAGTTATTAGGATTCTGATTTTGGGAACCAAATTGTATCTCGTCTCGAATTTTCCATCCGTCGTGGTCAAAGTACTCGAAATTGTTTGATTAGATCCGGTACGGATCCCATACCCACACCCATACTAGTGACGTGTCGACACGGGTACGGCACCTAAACTGCCATGTCGGAGCAACTTAGGTGGAAACAGCATCTTGCGTAATAAAGTTGCGTATAATAGACCCTTGTGGTCCAGCCCTTCCCCAGACCCTGCGCATAGCTGGAGCTTAGTGCACACCGGGCTGCCTTTTATTTGCTTCCAATGATCATCTTTTGAAAGCAAGATCTCGGACAAAAGCATTGCCCACATGGAAGCTCACCAAGATTAAGCTTCTAGATATAGAAAACTATATTCTTCTATGTATATTATTTACGAAAAACATCATGAAAATGTTTTAACAGAAAAGAATAAGCTCTGTACTAAATCTCTACTACTTTTAGAACCTAAATTCATTGAAAACCCCAACTTGGTCTCGCAATAATGTTGAAATCTAAAACTGCTCTGCAGTCTCCCAATTTCCTTCAACAGTCCAGACTACATTCATGCTCTCATATTTTTAGCCTCTTAATCTCTCTCACTTGTTTTACTTGGAGTTATATATAACTCATTAATGTTATTTTTCAAAGATGCGCAAACAGCAGACGTTAGATACAGGAGGTGGCGCGGAGTACCTGAAAGAGGGTGAGATGGACAAGATGAAGAATAAGCTTTGGTTTGCCGAACCAAAAATGTCTGTCTGAAACTTGGACAAGAGGTATGCCTTGGACTACAGCATGTCTTTCTTGAATTTCAAGAGCCATCTGAGCTATAATTGCTTGAAGCTTTGTCCCAACTGCTAATATTATCTTTAACCAATCCAGTGGTTAGTTCTCTCTTCGTTAAAAACAAAGTAGAATGAAACAAGTAATCAAATAATGATAAGGATTTCTTACAACTAGAGGCAATATGGACAGCCAAAACATAGCTTGCCATCCTGAAACACAATATATTTGTATTCAAAATCAAAACTAATATAATTCTTCTGATCGAAATTACTTTCAAGAGACTATATGTCTTAATAGAAACAATCGAGATTGCTAGAATTACCATGAACATTCATCAGAAGATAAACAACTGCAGAAAACCATAGCAATGAGCTGCAATTATAACAAAGGTAAATCATTAGTAGCGCATCAAAACCTGAGAAAGACTTAAGTTATTTTATAAAATGAAAACATAAAAAAGATGAATGTTCTTTAGTTCACGTCGAAAAGAACGTACTTGATACCCACAACAATCTTGAAGTCATCTTCTAGAGATCTTTTTATGTACTTTTGAAAATTAAACTTACTTCCAGGTGCTAAGTGGACCTGCAACAAGAGGAAATCAATAAGCAAAAGAACCAAATTTGATTGTAAGAAGCCTTGAATTTGTGAACCTCACCGAGATGAAACCATGGCGCATGGTCAAGTAGTCAGCTTTCCGAACTGACCTAAAAAATTGCCGAAAAAAGCACACCTGAAAATAGTGGGAAATTAGTTAGAGAAGATGAAATAATAGTTCGTGCAATGGTCGTATTACAACATTTCACTCGTTACATTATGTTAGATTACTGTATCACCAACTAATTCCACCGTATAAGTAATTGTACAGAAAACTTAAAGTGAAACACAATCGACTTTTATTATCACAGATAAACCTATCAAAAACCCCATTCATTCATCCAAAACATACTGATAAAATATGCAAAAAAGAAAAAAGAAAAACCCGGTTGGTTTAGTTTTTCTTACACTGTAGAAAAGGATAGGGGTGGTCCCAAAACTGGTATTATCCCTAACAAATGATGTCTCTTTTGTAAGCCTGAATCTTGAGGAATCTGCATAGAAAGGTCATATAAGAAAGAAAAGAAATACAGGTGAAGAATTAAAGATTAAATCCCTCTTGGTTTAATGTGAAATGTAAAATATCCTACAAAAAGGAAGAGTTCTTAGATCACTTTCGCCTGAATGGTTGGACTTAACAAAATCCAACAATAGGATAGCAAGGGGCACGGGGAATGGGTGTTCAATGACGATAGTGTATAGCAAAAAATGAAGCTAATCTTTGCATGATTGGAGCAAATGTATGTAACAGGAATAGGAAGATTTGAATCGGAAATTGTTCATACTTTTAAAAGGTTATAAGTCATTCACCTCATCTAATGCAATATATATTCTTAAGCAAGATGTTTTCAATAGTTTTTTATCGGTAAATGATTCACCAAGAAAATGCATTTTTGGAGAATATCTTATGTCATGCCACACTGAGCCCAAGGGGAAATAAATGTAAAAAGGAAGAGAAATGCTAGACGAGAGAAGAAGAGTGATAGAAAGAAGAACACTTGACTAGAGAGAATTCCTTGTAACTCAATAGAATGTTGTAAGCTCACTTCTGCAACTGACTTTCACAATCACTCACTCACGCACACTATGAACTTTACCGAATCGGAAACCCAGGATTCATGCAACTCCGTAACATAAGAGTCATGCACCTTAGCATAGATATCCTAAGAGTCAGATGGATTACGCCAAACAGGCACCTAGTAGTTCTAGAGTTTCAAGATTAAAATTTCCTGACACCCCCTTAAAAATCTTCTAACTTGACTGATTTTATAAAATATCTGTAATTTGGTTTGGTCTACTTCACCTCCCTTGGCAACATTAAAGATACCAGAACAGGGATATGTATATAATTCAATAGGATAGGTTCTAATGATTTGTAGTACTCCTTGGTGTGGAAACTGTTTTTTTTTTTCAGTAGACGGGGTAATTCTTTATTTCTTCTAATTGTTCTTTAGATATCTTAAACTCGCCCTTGCACTCAGTTACTTCCAGATCTAGCTTTAACATCTCTGCCTCCATTTTTGCCAATAAATAGCTCCTCTAGTTCACATCTTGGCTCCAAGTTCAGATTTTAAATGGGTTCACTATTGTGAGTTCATCACTAAGTGCTGCAAGCATTCCATTCCAAGAAAATCATCCATCAGATTTATCTCCATAGATGCTTCTAAGTCTCTCATATGAGGCTCTTCACGCTTATGTTTATTCAATCCAGACAGGCAGTCAAATTTGTACTGGTCATGATTGTTTGTCCCCAAACTACTCATGTCGCGGCTACTAATTGCAACCGTTCTTAAATATATAACAAACTATCAGTGAAAGATTCAACGTAAACCAAGGAAGTATCATTAGACTTGTGCTTTAGCTGGTAGAATAAATGCCTTGAGCTTAGAGCATTCTACTTCAAGCTTAGCCACCATCTTAATATATATTCTCAGGGTGTTGCTTGTTAGCCACTTCAGGGCAGGGCATTGGCATATGACACTAGGCCGCATACAACGATAATGTCGTAGCTAGATGTTTTTCGGGGTGTAACATGCAAGCCCAAGGCCTAATGATATGTCGAGAGGGGAAGGCATTGGCTTATGATGCCAGGCCACATTCAACGATAATGCCCGGTGCACAGCATGTGTCATGCCAATGACTGACTTCTTGCTTGATGCTACTCTCAGAATACCACGGACTAAAAGTATCCTTATCATCCTACTTGGGTGCTAGCAACAAAGTTGTCTCCTTATTCTTGTGATCAACAAGATTGGGTCTCTTCAATATTACTACGACAGTCTTAGGAGTGATAACCAAATTTATGACAACTAAAGCATTCAATCTGAGATTTGTCATACCTATGTTTTCCTCTGCTTCTTGCTAGTAACCATGACCTCTTCCTCTTCCCGATCATGAGCACGACCTTTAAATGATTATTAGGTTTTCTCCTCATTGTTGGATGTGTTACCATTACATCTTTCTTTGACAACAAATAGTACGTTTGTCCACATCCTCTATTGATCTTTTTCACCTCAGTCATCTTTCAAAGTTGCTCTTGTCAAAGAATGAAGGATGTTCATGAATGTTTTCTACTTTTAACTGATCCATATCTGTTCAATTTATTCAAAAGGCCATCACCCTTGTACAATAATCCAAAATTGATTTGAATTCTTTCAGTCTTCAAGCTTCAAAATACCCCTTAAAGATTGAAGCCTTACCTTCTTCACCTTGTCCATTCATTGGAGATAATTTTGCAAAACCTCCCAGTTTCTTTTGAGGTGGTTGTATTGGCCGCCTTCTCAAACATAGTATCACCCAAATATTGATGGATGACACTTGAGAGCGAGACTTGTTGATTTTTTTTTCCTTGTCTTTGCCAAAATATCCTTCTAATACTGAGACGAAGGTCTTCATTATCGGTTTCTCAAGCCCCTGTTCAACTATTTTCCGCACAGCCAAGCATTGCTTTCATGCAAAGACACCAAATTTTCATAATTTTCTTTGTGACTCCACGAAATTAGAAACCAAGTGGTCCATCTCTCTATTTTGTTCAGCACTCTTGTTTCAATTCCGAGGACTTTTGGCTCTCCACTACTTTGTTACAGGAAGAGAACTGCTAGAGGAGAGGAGGAGAATACTTTGTTACTGAGAGAACTCTTTGCAACTCACTTGATTGCCAAATGACAAGGACAAAGGGGTATTCATATGTTTATAGGCGCCTCTTCTCAACTTACTTCTTCAAACCATTTTCACATATATACACAAATATGAACTTGATCACATTAAAAACACAAAATCCACACTTAAATAACATAAGAATCACGCACCCACATAGCTATCCTAAAAATCACATGAATATCACCGAACACGACACCTAGTAGTTCTTGAATTTCAAGAATAATTTTTCGTAACAATAACTTGCCTCATCAACTATCTCATGCCTGCATAAAACTAGGGCATATAAGAAGCAAAAAGAATTTAAGTCATGATGATTTCACACCATACCATTGGATGCTTCATAATCATGCTCAACTTCCTTTTCCCATTCTTTCCACTCTCGAATCTGCATGTCACAATGATAAAGTTTAGTCTCTTAATAATGCTCAAGTATTTAGTACAAAAGTGGAAGTTGGAATTAACATTGTGAGGGTGTTTCAAACCAATCTTGATCCTCAAACAAAGCTGCAACTACAGCGAGCAACGATATTTTGATAGACCTAAAACGGTAAAACTTTGTCCTCGGTACACTGAAAATGCGGAAAAACTCTCACCTTTAATCTTCCAAGAAGCATAGTAATGGCACTGTAAATAACGTGGAACACGGCCAAAAAGAATATGAAGATGTGTAGCTGATGCAAACCATTGAGGGATATTAGTGGAACGTGACCCTGTCAATGTGATTACTGTTAGCCTGTATATTTTCGAGGAATATTTATTTAAGCAATCTAAGCAAAAGAGGAAAACGATAATCCATAACCTTCTTGGTTTAATTAATGATAATCCAGTATCAAAATAAATTTAGTAACAACTTACTGATGATTTATTGAAGCAGACAACGGAGTAGAAGAAAATGAGTAGGATGTTAGCATGTTACTCTAAGCAGATGAAATCTGGAAGTCAAGTTTGTTAAATCATGCAAAAGGTACGTCACTAGTTGTGCCGGTTAATGAAGTGAGTGAAATTATGGAAATCGGAGTTTAAATTCAAACATAGACCAAAAAGGTAGGTGATTTCTTTTCATTTGCGTGCAGAATCACCCGATAATCGAGGTGCACAAAAAGAAAAATTAACTTCAATATGCTGGTAGTGTAAAAAAGATTTCACAATCAGGCTACCTAAAAATAATTACAGGTAACCATATGTATGGGATTTGTAACCTGGAAAATAAGGTAACTTACCTGTTACAACAAACTAAATTACATTGAGAGCAATGGCGGATGCATGTTATAGGTTTTGGGTGCTTAAGCATCCATTACTTTTGGAGTCACACACACTATTATTTATATAAAATAATTAGTAATTCATATAAATATATTACTTGAGCACCTAATCTCAATAGTAATTTTTAGATAAAAAATAACTAAGCACCCATGATTTAAAAATTCTGAATCCGTCACTGATTGAAAGTATAATTATTTACACTATTAATGTATACACAAGAATTGCACCTCAATGCCAAGAAGTTGTAGCCGACTATATGAATCTTGACTATCTATATCGAAGTTTTAATCGAAGAAAAGGTACTCACAGGCTTGCAGGCTCTGGCAGGACTATCAGCTGCTAATATCCTAAAATGATCCCATAGAAGCCTCCGATGATGTTCTCCTGTATGACCATGACCATGACCATGACCATGTCCGTGCTGAGCAGGACAAGGCAACATAGTGTTTGCAACCTTTACAGGTATGCATATTTTGGAAATGTAGTTTTGTCCAAACGTCAGAAGCAACGATATAAAACCCAGAACCATAAGCTCTACAACAACATTGAAAACCATTAATTATGAGGGAATCCCTAATTAGTTAAACCCCTCCTAATTTCTTGATGTAAAGTAATAGTAAAAATTTGGTAAGTTAATTATTACAAAACCCTTACCACCCTTAATCTTCTCCAATGCTTCCACCAATGCACTCTTTCGTCTTCTCTCAAATGTCTGTATTTAAAAATAACAAACAATGTAACATATCACATATCAATTTCAATTGCTAGAGAATCAACTTCTATGTGATATGAGAGTGTCCAAATCCTTCATTAAACCAAATGTTTTTTTTGTTTAACCATCCTGTATTCGAAATTATTGGCTCGATTAATTCGAATTCGCGCCACGTACGAACCTCATTATTTTCTGCTAAAGGACAACATTTTGTAGTTCTCTCAATGTAATTGTTTAAAACTTATCTTTTTGAGAATTCTATGACCAAAATATGAAAGGGAAATTCAAGAAAGAATCACATAAATAAAAATTTATACGTAAAAAAAAAGGATGATATGTAAAAAATACCTCTCCAACAGCATGAAGAACCTTTTCCAATAAAATGGAAATAAGAACAATAACTGCACAGACCAAAGCCACAGCCCATGTGGGTGTTTGATCCAACTCCCTTGCACCAGGATCGGCTCCTCCTGCCATTTTCTCTTCTTCTTAATATTGTTATTATTATAAATAAATTGTTTCTCTTAATTAATTTCCCCCTTCAAACCAATAGATCTCATGGGGAAAAACTAGCTCTGAATTTTCAGAGAAAAAAAAAATGGAATGGGAGCCAAAAATGCAATTACATTTGGTTGAACCTAGTAACATGGACCGGTTCAGTGAGGAGGAAAATAACAGAACTGAGCCGGGATAGTATTAATTATGGAAGGAGACAAATGTGGGGAATCTTGCATTGGTTGATGGAATTGAAAGGATGGTTTTGTGCAGAAATTTGGACACAATTTTTCTTCGTAATTGCCCCTCTTGTACATGTTAACGAGAGTATTAGTAGGGATTTAGTTAGATTATGAAGCCATAATAGTACCAAGTGTCGCACAAAATGTAAAGTCGAAAAAATGGACATGAAGGTATGAAAGTTTATTTTATAATGGTGCTGTCAGGACCAACTTGCTTGTATTTCAATTAATTTCATATAACTTTGTCCAAGACTTTAAATGGGAAGAAATGAGATTCAAACATGAGATTTCATGGTTTTCAATTCGTTTCGTTAACTATTGGACTTGATTCTTGGGTGCAACATGAAGGTATAAATTTCAATACAACTTTTCTAGATGTGAAGGTCGAGCATTAGGGTTGTAGGTTAGGAGGTAGTTGGGCATTTTTCTACTTCGTACCGGATGTGAGGATAGTCTGATTGGATTTGTCTTAGACTGCTAGCTAGTGGTTAATGTTGTGCTCACACTATTCTTCCGTTTTTCATAGCACCGGACCTTATTTACTGGTTATCGTTATTGCGTTTCATCTATTTTCTGGTTCTTATGATGCTGTTATTATTTCTATGGTTTCTGTTGATGGTACTGATATATTATCTCTTTTCGTCTTTTTCAATTTCTTGAGTCGAGGGTCTATCGGAAATAGTCTCTCTACTCCATCAGGGTAGGGGTAAGGTCTGCGTACACACTACCCTCCCCAGACCCCTTACCTATGAGATTTTACTGGGTTGTTGTTATTGTTCTCTAGTTTCTTCTTTTCTTAAAAAAAAAAACTTTTTCTTTTTTTTTTGTATAATTGTTAAAGAAATTATTGGAGCTCAAAGTGAGTATATAAATTGAACAACTTTTATAATAGAGAAAGGGAGACCACCTCGTACTTCCACAATCCTAAAAGCGATATGGGTACCCATCCCGTTACAATGTAAAAAAAAAAAAAAAAAAAAAAANAATCCTGGTGCTTAAAAAAAAAAAAAAAAAAAAAAAAACTATATGCCTTATAAATGTAAAAGTAGGAGAAGTGGCGAACTAAGTGGAAAATAAAGTTTATAATACACTTTAATCCTCTTTTACAATAATGTTTATAATGCACTTTAATCCCCATTGTTTACAAAAGCCTAATGAGTAAAAGTAGGGTAAAAGAAGCTGGGAACCCTCCTCTTTGCATTAATATGAACTATGAATCATAAGAAAATCTAAAAATGAGGGGAAGAGCACTTTTCTTGGTGTAATTAAACCTTGAATTTTTCTAATAATGTCTGTATAACAGTATGAATTTTGAGATTCGAACCATCTTTCATTAGTTCGGTAAAAAAAAAATCTTGTGTTACTAGATTGACAAGCTTATTTGTAACTGCATTTTTTGATGTGTAACAATGTAAAAGGGAGTAGTACTAAGTAACATTCAAGTATATATGCTACGAGAAAAAACTACAACACCATAACAAAAAAAAAAAAAAAAAAAAAAAAAAAAAAAAAAAAATTAGCAATAATAAATATGTCCACTAGCAGTAGTTAAATTTTCGCTACACTCTTTGCCAGTAGTTAGTTATTCAACATCTTGTTCTATATTTGGTGTCAATAAAGATTTTATCAATGAATACACAATAACAATAAAGATGTCGACTATTGCAAGTAAAAAATTGAGCTTTAGCAATATTCATTTATCGGCGATTAAATTTGCGACTAAAGTCATCGCAGAAATGTCTTAATTTATATATTTAGCGGCTTTCTTATTGTCATTTAAAGTCCAATAACTGCCAGCTAGCTAGTAAAAGGGACGTCTTGTAGTGGCGACTAAAGCTATCTTCGTATATTTCTTGCATATAACAACATTTATTCTTGCTCGTAAAAGATTTTCTTGATAATGTCGTGCTTATTTTCCATTCAAGGTGATCACAACATCATCACTGTTGCTCTTAGTGAATATAACCAGATCTCCAGGAAATGGTTTTTTTGTTGTTACAACACCAAAAATACTAATTTCCAATTGTCTTCAACAATAATCATTTGCATATATTACCCCTGAATGTTAATGAGTTAGCGGGAGCACTCATGTCTTTACATGATGATGACAATTTGGATCAATGTGTACTATCAAGAGCTAGCTAGCTAGAAGAACAAGTAGACTACTACATGCAAATCAACTTCTCCGATCCATCGCTACCATTTTGATCCATTCTGCACACATCTCTACCATTTACAAGGACGTAGATAATGTCTTAAGAAAATGTTTTATTAAAGTTTCCTTAAATAGGTCTAGATTGATATTTAGTTGCTTTGGCCACTGCAAGAGGAGTTCCAACACAGAAGCAGGATTAAAGTTGTTGAATTTCCCCATCTTGAACAAACCAATGTGTCCGTAGGAAAATTCTTTGGTTATATGTTGATGTCCATTATGTTTGATCCAGCAAAACTATGAGAGTACAAAGCAACGAAATCCTCATATCTCCGTTGAAAATGAGCCGTGGAGAGGACTGTATCTCTCTGAAAGTTCAGTTTAACCCATAGGAAAGGGTCAAAATTATTTCTGTTGAAGCTACTTTCAACCTTGAAAACATAGATATAGTAAATCCAATTTAATGAAGAGAAAGTGTGTGTTTGGTACGAACAAAAATATTTTCCAATTTTTTCATGTTTGGTTTGTTGGGAAGCGTGTCGGACTAAATGAAGTATATAATAATTTCAAGAGAAAAATAATAAAAACTCGCAAAACATGACAAGACAAAATTTACGTGGTTCGGCAATTTTTGCCTACTCCACGGTAACACAGAGAATATTTTATTACGCTGAAGAGAAAGAAGAAATTTGGGGATGATATACAATTGAAGAAGGGGATGCCTATTTATAGGCAGAACGAATACTGGAAAAAAATTACAGCGAATGTGAATACGAAGAGGACGACACTACAAACTGCACGTCAAATTCTTCTTTCACATTTTGCAGCCTGCCTTTCCTTACTCTTATTTCTTTCGGTCTCTTTCTATCTTTACTTCCTTTTTTTTTTTTTTATTTTTTTTTTTNTGAATACGAAGAGGACGACACTACAAACTGCACGTCAAATTCTTCTTTCACATTTTGCAGCCTGCCTTTCCTTACTCTTATTTCTTTCGGTCTCTTTCTATCTTTACTTCCTTTTTTTTTTTTTTACTTTTTTATTTTGCTCACATGGGTTTGTCCTAGAATCTCTCCTTAAACCCATATACATCAAAATAAAAAAAATATTTGCCATCCTCTGCTGGCGCCTTCATATTATCAATCTCGAAGGCTAACTGAGGCAGTGCAGAGCCTCAGTTTGTCAAACCGATAACTTTGGTCAATATGTCTGTCGGGTTCTTCGATCCTGGTATCTTCTGTAGTGAAAGAGTTTCTTCACGTATCAACTCTCGGATATGATGATACCTCAACTGGATATGTTTCGATCTTGCATGAAACATTGGATTCTTGGCAAGATGAATTGCACTCTGGCTATTGCTGAAAAGCTCGCAATTGTCCTGCTCTTTACCTAGATCTTTAAGAAAATTCTTGAGCCAAATCATCTCCTTTCCAGCTTCTGAGATTTCCATGTACTCTGCTTCAATGGCAGATAGAGCAACACTTTCCTGCAATTAGCATATCATCAACGTACAATAGTAAAATGATATAGGATTCGTCAAGAGTTTTGTTATAACACCAATGGTCCATCTCACATCGCGTGAAACCATTGTTATGCATGAATCCATCAATTTCTTGTACCATTGTCGAGGAGCTTGTTTCAAACCGTACAAACTCTTCTTCAACTTAGACACAAGGTTTTCAAGCAAGGTTTTCTTTACTAGAAACTTGAAAACCTTTAGGTTGCTTTATGTAGATGTCTTCTTCAAGGTCACCATGCAAGAAAGCAGTTTTAACATCTAGCTGCTACAAATGCAAATTTTCTGCAGCTACGATACTTAGCACCAACCTGATAGTGGTTAATTTGACTGCAGGAGAAAAGATCTCCATGTAGTCAATTCCTTCCTTCTGCTGAAAGCGTTTTACAACTAATCGTGCTTTATATATCTTCTTACCACCATGCTCTTCCTTGACCATGTACACCCACTTATTTTGCAATGCCTTTTTTCCTTTTGGTAACTCTGTAAGTATCCATGTTTTATTCTTTTGAAGAAAATTCATCTCTTCTTTCATGGCTAGCTTCCACTTATCAGGGTTTATCACCTGCATTGCTTCAACACTCCAGCATCAGTCAAAAGTAAATAGTGGGGAGAGAGAGAGAGAGTTAACCTATCTGGAGCATTCGTGGCTCTTTTAGATTTCCTTATGTAGGTTCAAGAGTAATTGATCCCGAATTTGATTCAAGTCCTGACTCCAGATTTAGTTCTGCATCTGATTCTATCTCTGGTTCTGGTTCTGATTAGGGGTTGCATATGAACATGAACAAAACAAAAAATCAAATATCTAACGATTTTAGATTCGAGAAATATCAAAACGAAATACGGACAAAATAAAACTCGAAATCTACTAACCGGATCGAAACGAAATATGTATGAACTGTTTCGACAAACCTTGACCAAAACTCGAACAAACGACGACGAAGACGAACCTAAGAAGCAACTGAAGCAACGCCGAAGCAGTAGCAATGGCGCGGGTAGCAGTGGTGAAACAGAAGCAGCTGGGGGTGCGTTTGGTTTGTTTGCGCGAAGAAGATGAAAGCAGCAAAATCAGTGTGACCTGCTTGGTTGACGACGCAGCAGCGGCGACGGGGTGGCCTCGGACCNTGGTTTTTGGATTTTTGGAGAAGAAGAGAGGGGGGCGGATGGTTTTTCTTAGGTTTTAGGGTTTTTGTGTTTGTCTTTTTTTTTGTGTTGGACACAAATGAAGAAGCGGTGTTGGGTATTTGGGTTAATGGGACGGACCGGGTCGACCCGGTTTGAAGTGGACCGGGTCGTGGGGAAGGTTGGACAATTGTTTGGGCCTGTGGTTTGAAATTGAAGAAGTTGCCCAATCTGATTTTTCTTTGTATTTTTGCCCTCTTTTCTTCTTTTATTTTTCTAAAATTAAATTATAAAAATACTTAAATTAATATTAAGAACTAAATTAAGTTATAAAAGAGCAAATTAACTCCCAATAACAATTAACGCACAATTAAGTAATAATTAAGCATAAAATTGTATATTTGGACATTAAATGCTAAAAATGCAAAAGATGCCTATTTTTGTAATTTTTAATTTTTGTAAAACAAACTTAATTACTAACAATTGTAGAATTAAATCCTACCTGCAAAATGTGACATATTTTTGTATTTTTATTAATTTAACAAATAAACATGCAAGGAAAAATACAAATAATCATCCAAAAATGTCACAAAAATACTCAAAATTGCACACCAAGGAAAATCATTTTATTTTGAATTTTTTTGGGAGTAATTCTCATATAGGGCAAAAATCACGTGCTTACACCTTTTGATGCCATTTTTTCACAATTTTTTTATGTGAATAGTACCTATGAATAGGAATACTACTCCGTGTAAGAAAAAATGTCCCAATTGTATAAGGTAGACAACAATCACTATTGGTGAGCCGCTCTATAAAAATTCAAGACAAGAAGAAAGGAAGAAGGATAGCGATCGCTTCTATCACTATTAATGAATAGTATTTCACTATTGTGAATAGTGTTAGTACTGATGATCAATAGTGTCGCACTATTCTTGTGAATAGTACCTAAACCAATATCGTATTTTTCTACCAGAATTATATTTGCCCATGCTTTGATATCAGTTGTTGGGAAGCGTGTTGGACTAAATGAAGGATATAATAATTTCAAGAGAAAAATAATAAAAACTCGTAAAACAAGACAAGACAAGATTTACGTGGTTCGATAATTTTTGCCTACTCCATTGCCACATAGAGAATGTTTTATTAATCCTAAGAGAAAGAAGAAATTTGAGGGATGATATATAACTGAAGAAGGGAATACCTATTTATAGACAGAACGTCTGTTGGAAAAAATATTCAGTGAATGTGAATACGAAGAGGACAACACCACAAACTGTGCACCAAATTCTTCTTTCACATTTGCAACCTGTCTTTCCTGACTCTTATTTCTTTCGGTCTTTTTCTATATTTCCTTTCTTTCTTTTTCTTGACTTTTTCATTTTGCTCACATGGGTTTGTCCCATCATGGTTAGTTTAAATGTTTTGGAAAATATTTTCCTCATGAACTTAGTTTTCTTCAATTGGAGAAAAATATTTTCCCTATTAAAAGAATGAAAAATATTTTCCGAAACTTCTTTTTAACCTTTCTCCGACCTATTCACCAACTCACCCCCACCCCCACCCCTAACCCGCACAACCTATCTTAAATAGAACTATTATTAAGAGTACTTTATTTTCATGTTGTAAATAGAGTACTTTTTTTTATTTCACAAAATGAGTATATTCTTTTCATGATATAGTAAAAATATTGTCTTTCATTTCAATAAGACGAGTACTTTCTTTACTTTCTTTTCATAATACAGAAAAAGTATTTTCTTTTCTTTCAACAAACTAAGTATTTTCTTTTCGTGAAATAGAAAAAGTATTTTTTTCAACAAAATGAGTACCTTTTTTTTTCATGATCTAGAAAAATTTTCTTTCATTTCAAGAAAACGAGTACTTTATTTTGATGATGTAGAAAAAATATTTTCTTTCATTTCAACAAATTGAGTATTTTTTTCATGATGTAGAAAAAATATTTAATGAGTATTTTCTTCATTCAACACAATGAGTAATTTCTTTTCATGTCGTAGAAAGGGTACTTTCTTTTCAAACAAAATAAAGTATTTTCTTTTTAGTTATCGAGCTCAAATTTCAACGTTGTTCTTGTGCACAAAAAGTAAAGCAGCACATTAGTTCCTTTGGGTTTGTGTAAATTTTGAAAAAAATAATTAAATTCTTGAAGAAAATAGAGTTTGGAGGGGGAGGGAAGAGTACATGAAACGTGAGATTTGAGGGGGAGGGGAAGTGAGTTGAGGAAAGCAGCATAAAGAATTATTTTCCTAAAAAGTTTTTTACTCACCAACCAGACAAAGAAAAATAAATAAAATCACTCATTTTATAGGAAAACATTTTCCTTCTACCAAATCTTGACACCCTTGCTTCTCTCTTCGTTGTAGCGTTCCTCTCAAATTTTAATCAATCAAAGACGCACAAGAAGATAACGACCAACTATATATATACCCTATGATGAAAATGAGTTTACGGTCTCTGACTCACAATGTAAAATTACGCTTTGTTGATCTACAACATCCGTAATTTCATATCAAGTACTCCTAATTAGACGTTAACGTGCATAGTCGGTTAAATTATACTGATGGTAAATAATTAATATATAACTTAAACTGAAGAGCTTAGTTCCAAAATAAACCCATAAATAAAAGGGGTTAGTAGAATAGTTTCTTTTTTTTTTTTTAATTTTTTGGTGTGGGGTGAAAAGATCAATCAAAGTTAGGTTAGATTGCGTTTTTTGTGTGATTCGGTGAGGCCTTTTTGTTGTTGTGATTATGACGTGTAAGCTAAGTGATACATCTCAATAAAAGTTGGAAGTGCAAATTTAAATTTGGTTTCCTAGAATGAGTTTTAATCATTGAATATCGTAGTTAGACCTTCTAATTAGGTGATATTACTCAGAATTTCTGTAAGCATGTTTTGATTTTCATCTTAATTCTTTTCCATTTAATATGTGTTTAATTATCCTCTTATGAAGCAAGAAGGAAGAGAAGAAAGAAGTATATAGATGCTTGTCCAAACCATCCGTTAAGCTTGAAATAAATTAATGACCATTGTATGTCGAGTTGCAAAAGTCTTTTCGATTTACTTTCCAATTACGAATTTTTGGTCGTGATGTTGGTTTAACTAATTTGTTCGTTTTGAAGAGTGAAGAGATTAGAATGAAGAAAAAGAAATTAAATGAGATATATTTAATTTGCCTTAATTAGTTGACATTTTCCCTCAATTATTGATTCTTTTTTATTTTCAAATAATCAATCATATTTTATAATATAATCACATTTAAAGTACATATATAACATTTAATAGTCAGGTAAAAATTTGTTTAAGGAGGCAAATTACAAGCTAACGCTGATTTTTATATATTGCCCCTTATTATTATTCAACTTATACACGATGACGGGTCCAAAATTAACTTTACATCGCGATTTGTAACTACAAGTCAACCTTGAAAGAAAAAGGAGAAAAATTACAGTTTTGACAGTAATGCTCACACACTTGTGCAACACAGAGTTGGAAAAAAGAAGCATAATTCATGATGATGCCAACACCGTCGCGCGCACAGACAATGCCGCGCGCAGATCCTGATGCCTTGCTCGCGGCCAACCGCAGGCGGACTCCAAATAGTGTCGCGCACGCCAATAGCACTGCGCGCGCAAACCCTGATGCGAAAGACAAAGTTGCTGCCAACTGACCTGTTTTCTGCCTTGTAAAAAACTAAGTCCTTTTCATTGTAAATATAGAGTAGTTTTATTTCATGTACTTTCATTATGTTTCTTTAGCTTAGTTAGGTCAAGTCTTGTAACTTTGGTTTATTATTTTTAAGCATTATATTATTAGGGGACCAAGCAATCAAACTTTCTAGCAAGCAAACATTTCTCTATACGGGTGTCTCTCCCCCTCGTAGCCTTTTGTAATAACTTTCATTAATGCAATCAAGCTTTCATTCTGAATTCTTATTTTCGTTTCCGCAATTGCTCTTGACATTGGTTTTTCCGTACGGCACTGACAATCTCATCTAGCATACAGAGGGGACCTCGGTTGGCGGACATCAACTGCACTGACATCGGTTGCTTAGCCTTACGTCGCCCTTCCAAGGAACCTCAGGAAGGCGCCGCGTAACATCAAGAATGAATTAACTTTAGTTTTTCAAATTTGTCCTTATTTACATATATATCCAAGTGTGTCAAGTTAACAATATGCAAATCTTAATTAAAGGTAATTTAGTCAAAATACTTTTTTAAGGAGTTAGTATTTTCTTAAGGGACATATCAAAGGTCAAAATGTCACTTTATTGTGGATCAGAGAGTATATAATTTAGAAGGTAGACGAGTAAGGCTTGCATAAGAAAATGGTACTATAAAGAATGAATTAACCGACCAAACTTAAACTGAACCCTTTTGACTTGAGAAATTATGTAGACTTTGCTCTGTCAGTATGGAGTCCTTAGTTAGTATTTTGTAATCCAAAAGTAGCGAATTTTATATGCAAGTCCCCAGTTGAAATGCTCCACTACTTTATTTCTACATTTATTTTATATATATGCACAAGACATGTAAATTAAAACTGTAGTGTGTCTGCTATGCATATGTGAGTGAGATGTTAGAATCAAGATTGAATTGAGTGTATTATTGCTTGCCCGCAATTGAGACGACTTGTTTAACTCCCGAAGAAGAAGAGTTTGACATGGGTTTGTTAAAAGAGATAACTAGAAAATTTAAAAAAATGATGGCAGGAATATGAGAAAAGATTAGACTGGAGTTAATTTTCTTGGCGAGAACTTCATTTTTTAATTTTTGCGTACGCGCTCAAGTCTCAAGATCGAGTGGTAGACATGCAATTTGCCACATCATCAAGGCATGTTTAATAGGTACATTTTCTATTTATAAAAAAAGTGGTTTAATAGCTTGAATTCTCAGTTAAGGCATCTAAACCAAAAATTCTGGCAAAAAAAGTAAAGAGGAGGAGGAGAAGACTAGGAAGAAGGAAGACAGCTGACTGAAAAATGTTGCACAATGATAGTGGTCAGTGTTTGAGAAAAGGTAGGTTGAAAATTTCATTTTTGGGCCGTGCGCGCTCAAGTTCGAGCAGTAAACTGTCATGTCACCGATTTATGTTTAATAGGTACATATATTTTCGACGTTATAAGAGTTTAATAGTTTTTTTTTAAAGTTAATGTTTAATAGGTTACACTCCTAGTTAAAGCATGTAAATGATTATTTTTTTGTCAATTTTAGTGGTTCTATGTTCTGCAAAAATTAAAAGAAATCAAGTTAATCACTGTTTAGTTGCGACATATAATCACTACTTTCCCCCTTAAGCTACCGCCATCCCCCTATTATATTCTATTGTATCTTGCTTCCTTGGTAAAAATAGAATATTAAAGTAGTTACTCTAGTTTTTACTATAGAATTTGAAAAAAGAACCCCAAGGTTGTTTTGCCAAAACTAACCAAATTAAAATACTATTCTTGACAAAAAAACTATTACTACATGGAAACACTACTATGTTATAGGTATTTTTCAATTAGAGTTGAAAGTTAATTTTCTTAAACTAGTAAGAAGCACCAAATATGGTCTAAGATTAACTTATACGTAATTCACCGCTAAAAAAGAAAAAGAAAGAAAGTGAAAGGGAATCGGGAAAAGCCAAAGACAAAAAGATAAGAAAATATCATTCTTTGATGACACCGTAAAGCAAAATACGTACGAAGCGAACAAAGAAAAAGGGCCAGGAACAGCCGACGCCACATATTATTTATTTATTCATTATTACTCCTAAACAAACCATACATACATATACATAGATAGATAGACAGTAAAAATAAAAATATACCCAAATTCCAAAGGAGAGAAAACGCGTGACTTGAGAGCCAAAGGTGAATCCAAAAGGATTTTTTCGTTGCTTTCGATTCATAGAAACTTCAGCTGAAACACACACACACACACACACACCAGCTAGTGTTAGTGCCTTCCTCCCCCCCCCCCCCC